TCTCTCTCTCTCTCTCTCTCTCTCTCTCTCTCTCTCTCTCTCTCTCACACACACACACACACACACTCCTGCTTTGCTTTCCTTTCTAAGTGCATGCCTAACTTTCAGAATTAGGGCACTCTGTGGTGGTCCTTTGAAACCTGCAGCTCCATCTTGCCATGACTACAGCCATCTTGAGGCCTAGCTGCCCTAACTGCCCCTGAATAACCCTGACTGCCTTCCCCACACAGTTTTCCAGCATACTATAAATAGACAAAACCACTCGAGTGGTGGTTGGAGGTTTGGGAGTGGATCTTGGCAGCAGGAATGTGCCTGGCTCTTGGTATTAGCCTGAGATAAACCAGGTGCGCTCTGGCTTAGATGAATGACTTATGTTCTTCCTACTTTATATACGGCAGGAGGAAAAAAATATGAAGACTGTTTAAATTTCTTATTTGTTAAAATTTAATAGACACACACACACACACACACACACACACACACACACACAAAATAATTGAATAGACACATTCCAGAACTCCCCTCAAATACACCTTCACTTGCCCTGTCACTGGCCACAGTGGCTATGCCAGGCCAAACTATTCATTCTCTGGGATTTCTCCATCGTGCCCCTCTCCACAGGGGAATGCTGAGAAAATGAAGCCATGGCCCAAGAGATGCCAAGACTGTGCTGTGCATGGCTGTGTGACCCCCAGAGCTGCCCTCCATTGCCCTAGCAGCTCCTCTGCTCCTTCTGGGAGCCTGCATCCCCAGCAGATCAACTAGTTTTCCTACTGAAACAGTTCAAGTGGTCACCTCCAGATGTGTGTGGGTTTCCCTGTGCATCAAGAGACGCCAGCAGGTGTCCAACGAGTCCCTTCCCCTCTGGCTACTGCACAGGAAAGGACTTAATGTCCCAGCCTTGCAGTGTCACTCATAGCAGGTGCTATCATCTCTGCTTCTCACCCAGTGGCTGAGAAAGATTTCCTGGACTCCGTCTCAGCATTCTGCAGATGAGCCAGGGTGCCTCGTACACCTCAGGATGACCTTGCTAGCTCATGATAAAGACTGCTGTCCCGTGAAGGCTGCTTATCATAAGGGACACAAGCAAGGTGGCAGAGGCGGGTGCTCAGAGCAGGTGCAGGGGAACGCGCAGCGTCCATGGCCCTAGGTTTCCTGTGGCTCAGCAACCAAAAGCTCCAGGACACCTGGATGCAGGAATCATGACATGGCTTCCTTGAGAAGGCCTGGGAGCATCCCCAGCCCGGATGGGTGGGGATGTGGCACAGGGCGGGGCTGAGAGCGCCAAGCTTCTGACCACAGCTCCCCCAGGCCCAAAACCACCTCAAAAGACACTCCAGTCACCCAGACCCAAGGGACAGAAGCTCTGTGCCAGAAACCAGGGGCAGAAACCAAACATGTTTTTCTTATTAGTTCACAGCATTGTAGCAACTGAATGTGGCTTCAACAATGAAGAATCCTTTTTTTTTTTTTGGCGGAACTGGGGATTGAACCCAGGTCCTTGCGCTTGCCAGGCAAGTGCTTATTCCACTGAACATCTCCCCGGCTCTGAAGGATTCATTTTTGTTGTTGAGGTTTTGTGTTTTTTTTGAGACAAGGTCTTACTATGTAGTTCAGGCTGGCCTCAAACTCACTCTATGACCCAGGCTGGCCTCCAACATACAGGGATCCTCCTGCCTTGGCCTCCCAAGTGCTGAGGTTGCAGGTGTGCACTACCGTGCCCAGCTTCAAACCCTTGGGATGGGGGGCCTGCCCCTTAGCTCAGTTCTTTAAGTGGCTGCTTCAACAAAGCAGTCAGGCTCAGGTTGCTGTGGTTCGATCCCCACAACACAAG